CAAAAAGAAGGCGACTCAACTTGTCTGCTCGGTGATGGCTCTAACTTCACTCACACTCGTCCAACATGTTGCAGCAACCCCATTCATGCATTTCCTTGGGTGGTTGAACTTTAGACTAAAGAAATAGTCATAATTTTTCAGCTTTCCTCATCACAGGCTTCAGTGATAATATGCTCTCTGATACTATCTTGATGTAAAAACATATTCTTGCTGCCAAATAAAATTGTGATTTGTCTTCTAGGTTTAGGTTTGGCAACATAACACATCCTGACAATCTTCAAGCACAGATAAGGCATTGTTATTTAATATCCTTATTTCCCATGTGGCGGCAGGCTAGTTTGCGCACTACTTTTCAGATGTTTTACACTTTTAGTTGGTAATTGCAATATTTTGCGAACACTACCTATTTTGCCGAAAAAAAAGAAAAAAGGCAAGAATATAATCAATTTGGTTTCTTTCAACCAAATTTCCCGGTACCTGAGCCCGAGTCGCAGCAACTCTTTATGGCTCTTTTAATGCACCTAATTTAGTGGTTTATACCCATTATACTAACTGATCAATGGTGCTTAATTCCACTTTTGATATACACCAGTTCTTTCAAGCATTTATTGAGGATTAAAATGGTTTGGCTCTACTCAGACCGACATCAACTCAGCGTAGCGAATTCACAACGTATTATCATTACACTTTGTATCTTCGTCTTAGCAACGCTGGTTTACTTGGCCTTAGAAGAAGCAATTTCCAACAACCTGATCTGCGATTCCACATCCACTGGACTTACTTGCTTTAAGATCTCATAATCGCCCTATAATAGTAGCAGCTCACTTGTCTCAGAAAAATGAAATACATATTGCTTTATTAACTCAAGTTATAGTAATCTAGTCCGCGTTACCTCAGAACAAGCTAAAGAATAGCATATACATTCCTCTGTTAAGGCGATGATGACTCAAGTTGGTAATACGTAAACGAAAAAACTTGGAAGTGGCTTCATCACGCTTAATTCATACCTCTTTAGTGATGAGATCTAAAGCCCAGCAGACATTTTCTTCGAAGGTTCAAGAAATCTTTGTTGATATTTCCGGTTTCTCGATAATCGACTCTCATTTGGTATAACTTTTACTTGTAGAAAAATTGGGTTTCAAATAATCCCTTAAAAGATTCATGTTGGAGTACCTTTCATTTCGTTTGAGGAGGCAAGTTCAAGGAATTCGTAAGTTGGTTCCACCAGAGGCTGTGGGGGGTTGCCTTGGCGCTGTGATTGTAGATTATTGAAAATAGGTCCTCAGCGGTCCAAGGCAACCCAGCCCCAGCCTCCGGTGTAACCAACATACGAATCCCTTACATCTGCGTCTTCAAACGAAATGAAAGGTACTTCTACATGAATCTTTTAAGGGATGCTTTGAAAGCCAGCTTTTCTACATACCTACTTACTACGTACGGATACCAATCTTTTCGAGAATCATTACTTTACAGTAAGACTAAGAAAGCTCTGGCCCAGCAAGTCAACAATATTCGTTTTGTGAACTTATGTTTTTTACGTAGGGTAGTTCCTAGATTTTGTATTATTGAAAGACCAAATTTTCCAAATAGATCTATAAGAGTCCTTGAAAGGGCATCCAAGGATTTAGTTTTTATTATGACCCAAGAAAACATTATACAATTACACTTCTTGTTAAGGAGGAAAACTAAAATGCCCCAATCATTAGCGAGTACTCATAGCTTGGAAGATTTCTCTAGATTTCAAATAATGGTGGACAGGTTGTATGATATTGTTTTTCACTATTTTACATTCAGAAATGATAGGAAACTTTGGAATTTGGGTATGGGAATTAAGACAAAGGTCAATCAAAATACGTCTATGGGAGACAGTAGCGGGTAAAGGATAGTTGGCAAGAAAGTGGTAAATCTTTTCAAAACAGTCTTGCTCCCGAAAGGTTTGAACTTTGATTTGCCAAAACAGTAAGGATAATAAAGAGGAGATCCTGGTGGAACTCATAAGTTTTACCGACCATGTCTATGAATGATATTTAATTACATGTCGTTTCTTTACTTGATAGCCATGTAGAAATAGCATCCAGGAACAAGAGAATGAAAAACATCATCGGGAAACTGGACGATGAGGACCAAATGGTGTTGAAAGCAGACAAATGAGGAGCAGTGGCAGTTATGGGTAGGCTGAGGCATGTAGAAAAAAGGATGCAGGCTTTGGATGACACCACCACATACAAGCTAATCAGTTGGGACTCTATGGAAACCATTAAGTCTAGAATCAGAAGTTGCCAGCAGAGTTGTGCAACAAACGGGGAACTGGAAAAGTTGAAGATGAACACGCTTGTTCAACGAGATTCTAGCCCTCTGAATGCATATGGTCTGCCCAAAATACGTCAAGATGGAGTGCTACTTGGAATTATTGTGAATAATGGGGGAAGTGTGATTTATCAAACATCACGTTTTATTTGTAATCGGTTGAAGCAAATCTCCGAGACGTGGAAGGTTCCAGTCAAGAATTCTTATGATTTCGTCAACTTAGTCAAAAGATAGAAAGTGTAGATTTGCTGATAAAATTTGATCTTTAGTCTACGTACACTAACATACATGTAGACAATGCCATACAGACCTTGTAAACCACACTAGACCAACACGCGGAGATTTTAATAAGCACTAACTTAAGTAAAGGGTCAATAATGATACTGTACATATTTTACATGTAATGGTAAACTGCACGAACAAACACGAAGTTTAGCTATAGGATCGTGTTTATCACCCATTTTAGCAAATAATTACGTTTAATTCAAGAGGAACTTTTAGTTGCTAAATTATTAGTTCGCTATATTGACGCCTACTTTGTTGCTTGTAAACATTGCAAAGAAAACCTGGAAAATTGTCTTGCTTTGAAGCACAGGACCGATGGGAAGATGAAAATCACAATCGAGTCAGAAAAGGAAGGTGGTTCAACTTTTCTTGATGTTCTAGTTAGCAAAGTAGGGACCATATTAGGTCGAGATGTGTATAGGAAATCCACAAATTCAGGTTTCCTTTTGAATTTTTTCTCCAACCACGCTTAAGGGGTTAAAGTAGGAGTTATGAAGTCTATGATCATAAGGAGCCTTCGTCTGCCAGATGTCAAAACATCGGGGCTAGGAACTGAGGAAACTAAGGCGAATTCTGGTTGAGAATAACTATTCATGAGGGCTGGTTAACAACTATTTTAGAATATTGTCAAATAAAATGAAGGAAAATACATATCTGGGGCTAAATAAAAAGATAGATCACTCTACCCAGATCCCTATGTTGCTATCGTGTAATCTGTCGAAGAAGATAGGCGAATTACTGAGGAGGTGGGGCATCAGGACCATTTATAAAGAGAAAATAACACTGTCCTCGGTATTGCCTTCTTTTCGAGAATACTCTGATCCGCTCTCCAGACCGGGCTGTTACAAGATTTTGTGTTCATGTGGTACTGCCTTTGTGTGAGAGACGTGTAGACCCATACATAAGAGGTTATCCGAACACAAAACAGTCTGCAAAGGTATTTGGGTCCAAAAATCGGAATTGGCAGAACACGTGGCTTGCACAGCACACCAGAAGATTGGTCTAATGTCAAACGCTTAGCTGGACATGTAGACTGTACCAGCCAGTAAGCGTAAGATTAGGGAGGCGGTAGAAATCAACAAAACAGCCAACACTCCGAATGGAAGGAATGAGGGTAGGAAGTTAAGCGGAAATTGTTTGTGGCTGTTGGAAAGGTTTAGAGTGTGAGAGAGGATAGAGTAAGAAGTATCACCGAGCAAGTAGATGAGGCTTGATTAGGCTCGAATCTGCTTTTGAATCTCGCATGCAATGGGACTCAATGAAATGCGGTAACATTGCAGCATCAAAGGCATACATGTTTTAGGGGAGGATGCAGCTATTCAGTTTCAATTGCACCCATTTTACGCTTCATCTGTAGACACTTCACATGTCGTCCGCAGCCACTTAACTTAAATTATGAGTAAAAAATATAGAGGCAAAGCATATGACATCGAACCAAAACATGAGATGCATAAGTGGACTAGATTGGAGCCGGCCAACTTTCTTGTCTTCGTGGTTTTGGTCAATTATCGTTAGACATAGTATCCTGCTCTGATGATGTCCGTCACGTGACAGACGAAAGCCCAGCACGGATTCATCGAGGCCGCAGGCCGGTGCGCCGAGGACCTATTCGCACAAATCTACAACCACAGCTCCAAGGTAACCCCCGCCTACGGCCTCAAGTGGAGCCAACTTACGAGCGAGATGAAAGGTACTCCAACAACTTTTATTTATTTTCCGTTTTTATGCTTCTCCTTGGCAGCAATCTGAAGGAGACAATAAAAGCGGTTTATCTGCATTCCTTTACTACATCGAAAGCAAACCGATCATTCCAGCTACAAATGACGATTTTCAGATGATAAATGCTATCTCTCATATCCATCCTTCTCGTGTCCCCAAATGTAGGAACCCTAGTAAAGGTGTCCAAGAGTTACACCAACGAGATCCACCCTTCAGGATTTGGGTGTCTGATTTGCCCTGAGGCTTAATATTGGAAGTCTAGTGTCCTTCATCGTCCGATGAATCAAGCCAAGGCGTCTGATTGCGACAAATGATTTAACAAAGAGTTAGTTTTACATTCTGATTTTTTTATTTTTCAGAACATGCCATTGAGATAGATTGATAAGTTGCATCATTTTTTAATTACTTTTCTCATTCATAATCTATACTTTTGTTCCCAGAGAGGCCTAAAATTTCTATACAATTTTTGCAATATTTAAAATCACTGGCTTCTAATGAAAATTAATTTAGAGAATTGCGACTCGAGTAAACAGTGGAATTTCACAATCCTGCTAGGTCCATTCTGGTGCATACCGAAGTGGTAGATAAGTTCTAAATATGAGGTGCCTTATTTTTATCTTATCCACTTCAGTTTCAACAAATATCGTCTTCAAAGTTATGAAGCATAAGACAGCAGCCAGGCCAAATGTGAGTGATGATGAGCGCATACGAGAAAAGGGAATGAGTGAGGCGAGAAATGAATTAACAAAAAGAGGAAAAAATAAGGTGCCTAAGAGATCAGAAGACAGTAGCAGTACGCACAGAAAGAGAATTTGCGACTCAGTTGGCCGATTCCAGATGCATGACCCCAGAAGATCAAGCCTGCCTCGCAGAACAGCCAACGCTAACAGCTGCTTGGTGTCGCAATGTGTGCTGCAAGCCAGTTTTTGGAGGCTCGCAATTTACAAAATCGGTTCAAATGGCAAGGAGTGTTTGAGCCGATAGGGTCTAATGGTGACTTTCTGGGGTACAGAAAGACAGTTGGGTCCTCTTTGATCCAAGGCTGATATTGATCAAGAATTAGTGGACGACCAGGAGTGCGAAAAACTAGGCCAATTTAGCACGTTGTTAGGCCTACTTGTTAGACCATGAGGGGGAACCATCGGTGGACAAATCTACCGGACAGAATAACTGTGATTCTGTCGCATGAGATGACTGCCTGGGCAAAAGCTTCGCAAGCATTATAGGCTTTTTATGTTCGGCCCATCTGAGGCAACTCAGATTAGCTTAATCCACTTTCTTAAGCGTGAGTTTACCTTCGCAGTGGGTGTGCCGTGCAAGCTTTATATGCACTCGCATCGAAACCTGATAAGAGCTTGGATAGAAGCTCATAGAATGTAACGGAGAAGGAACTAACACTGTAAATTTAAAAAGGTCCTGTTGGGAATGTATAGAAATTAGGCTATCAATTGATATTAGGTAGATCGAAGCACACGATTTTAAGAGCATTTGAGTCCAAAATCTGCAAACGTCCATGAAAAAAGGAGTGCATAATTGAAAGTCTTGCGAGCAGCGGCTAGCGGACAACTGTTCCGAAGAGTCTGAATTCCTCAAGCAATAAAGCCATAGCTTAAAAGTAAGATATTAGCACTCGACAGCTAATTTAACCAAGCTTATAAGGCTTACTCTGGCCTGGCATCTGCAAGCCTAATTAAAAAATAATAACAAACAAGGAAAAGTGAAGGATGAGAGAACAGCTCTATTAGAAAGGTTAATTTGTTAAAATTTTAGGCATCACGAGTCAGAAGAAAGTCATTTGGGATGCACTTTTTGATGATGCCGTATAATCTGTAAATGTATATAGCCAAGGATACGATGCTGAAATAATTGCAATTGGCAAAAAATGCAATATGGACTATCCTCTTCGAAGCCCTCTTAGTATTAGATTAATAAACTAAAGCGAGCACAGACTAATTTTTCATGACAAAAGAAGACTTCGATCAAAGTAAAAGGAGCTCCATTTTACTATTCATATTTAAGATTAATTTAATTTTTTACACATCTTGTATGAGATACAAGAAGCTAGAAAAGTTGCCTGTTCTTTGTACAGAAAGAGAAACTAGGATGTGATTGCATGATTAAAAAAAGGTCAAGCGTTCACAAATGGTAATTGCAAAGAAGTGGAATTAAAGGAGTGTTCGGGAGTGTTTTAATAAAATTAAATCATTCAAGCCACTGGGTCCTAATACTTAAGAAACAGGATAATAAACATGGTGCAGTTTTATCTTCTGAAATTTTCAAATTTATTAATAGCCGAAGAAATTTGCATATCTTAGCTATTATTAAGAGGCTATTGAGCGTTTATGCAGACGTGCGTATAAATAATGGTTAGGCTTCATTTTATGCATGTTGGAATACTTTTCATTTCGTTTGAAGAGGCGAGTGGAAGGGATTCGCAAGCTGGTTTCATCGGAAGCTGTAGGTGAATTTCCCAGCTGTGATTGTAGAATTGTGTGAATAGACCCTCGGCTCACCACCCTGCTACCCCGATTAATCCTTGCTGAGCTTTCGTCTGTCATGTGATGGATATTGTCAGAACAGGAGATCATGCTTAACGATATTCACCAAAAGACGAAGACAAGAAAGGCGACCAACTTCAAACTTGCCTACTTCATATAGTTCAACTTGGTCCACTTAATGGGGCATCTCATGGTTTGGTTGGATGTCCCATGCTTTGAGTAACTGTTTGCTGAAAAGACAAGTAGCTGCACATGGTATATGAGATGGCTGCAGATAAGGCATAAGCGGATGCATTTGTCACCGAACAACTGCATCCGCCGCTAAAAAACGTATTCATTTGATCCTGCAATGTTACCGCATGTGCTTGCGTCCCATTGGACACGTGTTGTGTAAGTGCATTGCTCTTGAAGTGAGTGTGATATGAGGGTCAAAACCAGATTCGTGCCTAATTAAGCATACTCCTCTTTCTCGGTGGTACCTCTCGCTCTCCCCTCTCACTCTAATCCTATCCAACAGCCACAAATAGTTTCTACTTAACTTGCTACACTCTTTCCTTCTATTCAGGATGTTTGCTGATTTGTTTATTTCTATTGCCCCTCTAATCTTCCGCTTACTGACTGATATGGTCTTGATATCCAGCTATGAGATTGGCATTATACCAATCTGTCTGGTGTCCTTTGCGGGCCATGTGTCCAGCCGATCCCGACTTTGGACCCACATACCTTTAGAGACTGCTCTCTGTTCAGATAACTTCTTTAATATGGGCCTACAGGTCTCTCCCACATAGGCGCTACCGCGTGAACAAAAAAACTTGTAACATCCCGATCTGGAGAAAGGGTTAGAATATTCTTGAAATGTGTTATTTTCTCTTTATGATCGGTCCTGATTTCCCACCCCCGCAGTAATTCGCCTATCTTTTTCGACAGATTACACGATGGCACATAAAGATTCTAATGGAGGGGTCTGGCATTTTATCTGTCCTCAAATGTATGTATTCCCCTCCATCCTATTTGACAATACTCACAAATAATTGTCAACCAGCCCTCGTGGATAATTACTCTCAACCAGAATTCTCCTCAGTTCCTGGTCCCGGCGGTTAACATCTGCCAAACGCAGGCTCCTAATTATCAGAGGCTTCATAACTCCTACTTTAACCCGATAAATGTGTAGATACGAAGAAAAAGTGGGTTTCGATGAATCTCCTGAGATGACATTGTTAGAGGGACCTTCATTTCATATGAAAGTGCATGAAGAAGAGATTCGTTGGTCGATCTCACCATATGAGGACGGATGACACTCGTTATAC